ACTCACAGACACACACTCACAGACACACACTCACACACACACACACACACACACACACAGCACCATGACTTCTTTTTCTTTCTCTTTTCTCCTCTTCTTCTCCAAATCACTGAATGAATCCCTCTTTTCTCCGAGCCGACTTCTCCTGCTGTCTCGCAGAGACATTAATTCATTCGGCTTTTCTGTCTTCCTGCTATTTCCTCTCTGTCTCCACACTTATCTTTACTGCGGTTTCCATCTGTTTTCAAGACTTTCTGTGCCAAAAAAGTAGCAGGTTTATTTCTTAGAGATCAGCAGTTCACTTCGGTGTGACGAGGAGAAAACTGAAATTGCACCATTGTGTGAAATGACGGCATAGCCACAAAGTGATGCTTATTTTAGGTGCCTGATGGATGAAACTGTCCTTGAGACACACTCAGGTGGAGACTTTCTACTTTGCTTAAGCTAGGGTTGGTAAGTTGTTTCTGGCACAGTTTTCATCTTATTTGTTGAAAGCCGGTGCCTGTGGCTCTTGCAGGACTTTAATAAACACGATTGGCTGCTGTACCTGTCTGTCACTAACTGACCCGACTGCCTGCGCTCTCCGTGGGTGCGACCAGCGTCTTCAGCCAGGGAGGCCCGATGTCTTGCAGTATTTTGAGCACATCATTTTCTTTCTTCACAGTTTTTATGCATTTTTTATTGACAAAGTAAAGACGGGAGTTCTACCACATCCTCAGCAGTTTCCCAGAGGACATCATGCACCACGTAACCCACCAGTGCTTTTGTGGCCTAGAAACACGTCCCCAGCAGTTGACAAAAACACTCAAATCATCAGTGGGTTAATGAAGCCATCAGAATGGCAGCCAGGAGTGTATGCGGGTAAAATCACTTTGCTCTGAAACAAAAACATTCGGGTCAAATTTAGGTGCTCTCAAATTTCTGGTCTCATGTTTCTCAAAAACTGAGAGAGGGGAGGAGGAAGAGAGACCAGCACTCAGTGGAAGGCAATGACCTGAAGTACCACAGGCAGATTTAGTCGACCCCCCCCCCCATCATCACTGCTGCCCCGCTCTGAGACTGTTGTGGATTTATATCAGCTGGCCTCCTTGTCTCTATGCAGATTAATGGTTCTGCTTTGAGAGGTGTAGAAATGCCTGTATTAGTCTGTCAGCAACAACATAAACAATAAACATGTGTGCGCACAAACACACACACACACTCATACACACATATCAGGATGTGCCAGTGTCGCCTGAGGGGCTTAGCAGAACTTCCCATCAAAGTCCAAACAGGGCCAAATGAAACACAGCTACAACTCTTCGAGGTGGAGCATGGAAGTGGTCGTGTGTGAGGGGGGGGGGGGCTTGTCTTGTTTACAGTTTGATTGGCAGTTTAATGTGCAACAAAGGCAGGGGGCGGGGTTGGCGCCGAGGAATATTAGCATAATTCCCAGAGTGCCAGAGGTGGTATTGGGTGTCAGAGAGCTATTCCCAAACTCAGCTGTGACCCACAGTAGCACGGAGTCAACTTACCCATAGGCCAACAAACGCAGACACACACATACACGCTTCCTCTAACACACACACATTCGCCGTATGAATACATTTTTATGCATGTACAAGTGCATGGACACGTATGTAAATGCGCACATATGCATGAACATCTGGACATGTCAGGAAGCCTGGATGGACGCACAACACGCCAACGAACACACATTTCCTCACACACATCCACACACACACACACATGCAGGTCCATTTACACTGTGGCGACAGTGCGTCTGTTAGCGGGATGCCATAGTACAGAGGGGTGGACAGATTTAGGTCTCCCTCACACCTAACTCTGCCAAGGGTGGAGGGTAACGATACCATTAACACTCAGTGTGCCAACAGGCGCTCCCACCCCAACTCCTACCCACAACCCCACCTAACCTCACCCCGCCCTTCAACCATCCTCCTGCTGTGCTCCAATCAGCACCTCTTATTGGGTTGCTCTGCCCTGCACACAGCAACAACTGTTATTCCCTGCTCCAAAAATAACATGGCAGCCAATCACAGGGCAGGAAAGAGGAGCAGTGGTCATCGAAGACCACCTCCTTAACCACAGGTGAAAGCAGGACGCTGGGAAGAAAAACGAAAAGTCAGCCAGAGGCACAAAAGAAAAGAAAAACTGAAGCAAACAAATAAAAGATGCAAAGATGGAAAGAAATTAAATGTAGAGGGGGAGGAGAAAAAAACTAAAAGAGAGAGGATGGAGGGATGGAGAAGCAGTCAGAGGATGGAGGAGGAATGAGATTGTGTAATGATGTGTTCGGGTGCTGGCTCTTCTGTTCCGACTATGGCAGCTGCCATGGTAACCTCATAAATAGGTGCCCTACATATCAGCAGGGCATAAGGTTACACAGCTCAGTAAATAAACACACACACAGACACACACACACTCAAACACACAATCTGCTGCAGGAGAGTGTCGAGGGGAAGACGAGATGGAGGGAGAGCAGAAAGTAAGCAAATTAGCGAGTGAGGCTGAGAGAGAGAGAGAGAGAGAGAGAGAGAAACTGGCAACAGTAATGATTTGATACTCGGTGCCAGTGTTAATGTGTTTGTCTGTCATGCATAATTACATAAATCCACAGCTGAACAGCCACATCACAGACAGACTGAGGAAACACCCCCTTTCTGAGCTTGTACAGACACACACGTTTGAACAACTATTCTTATTAGGACTTTGCATTGACTTTCATTAATTGATTAACTAACCCTAACCAATCTCTAACCTTGACCGTGACGATTCAAAATTAAGTTTAGCCTCAGGTTTGGTCCCCACGAGGTCCATTGGTCCTGTTCAGTGTTTATGCTGGAAAAGGTCGTGAACACACACACACACACACACACAAGTTCTCTGTCTCACCCTCTGGAGCATAACCCTAAATTACCTAGAAATATTTCAGAGTGAAGCAAGTAGAACAAACACACACACAAACACACACGCACCCACACAAAACAAAACACAAGTTTGAATCCGGGAAAAGTCAACAAAGAGCCACTCCTAACACAATGAGCTGTTCTTTTCCATGATTCAGAGCACAAGCCTTTATATTCAAGCACAAATAGGGAAACTGTATCGGTGTGTTCATTGTAGTGACTGAATTCTATTTATCACCGCCCCTCAGTTACAGGGACATCAATCCTGCTGTGTCACAGCAATCCTCCTCTGCACACTTCATATTACACACACTGAAAACAATAGAGACTCTCGTGTCAAATTGTCAACATCAAACCTCTCATTTGTCTCAACTCACATGTGAATATTGCAGAAAATCCAAAATCACATGTCCCACCGCCACTGATCCTTTCCAACTCAAGGCACTGATTTGCATGACTTTGTAAGGTGCCATACTCCTCATACTAGAAGTGAAATTGTTCTAAGGTGTGTGTCACTTACTCGGATCACCTCTGGAGTCTGCTGGATGAGTAGTGTTGAGCCGGTATCTCTAACAGTAGCAGGGTCAGCAACCGCAATGTCAGCATCTCTTATATCTGCTGCAGCTGGGACGGCAACAGGTGCTGGAGCTTCAGGTGCAGCCACTGTTGTGGAGTGTGCGGTGGAATGCAAGCTGGTAGGTGCAGATGTTACAGAATCAGGGATGTGATCCGTAGAGGCCTCTGTTTCTTCATCTGTTGCTTCTGTTGTAGGCTCAGGTGTTGGTGTAGGCAGAGGTTTGGGGACAACCTCTGGTGTAGGTTTAGGGGTAGGTTCGGGTGTAGCATTGCACACAGCTTCAGATGTTGAATGAGCAGGTGTTGGTGTAATTGAAACTGCAATTGTATTTGGCGGTGAGTGTTTTGGTGGGATCGCTGGGACTGCATTTATGTGCACGGATGGAGCAGTCGGAGCAGCAGGTGGGGTATCAGCCCTGCCGGTGGTGGCTAGTGTATCCTGCAGAAGCCTCATCACCTCCCGCTCCTTTCCACATTTTCTCTCAGCACTCCCTGTGCTTCCCGCCCCAGAATCCACCAGCTCCTGGGCAAAACTCTCAATGCTCTCCAAGATCCTCAGCAGAAGTGCCCCATCCTCCTCCTCTCCTACTGGAGATTCAGTGTTCTCCACCTGGGGAGGAGTGAGACTTGGAGAGGTCCTTGAGCTAGGGCCGTTCATGGTCAAGTGGCTAACTGGCTTCTGGATTTTGAACTGGGACATTTTCTGCTGAGTGAGGGCGTCATTGGACGTCATCCCCTGGCTGCCCTCTCTCTTCCTGGTCTTGGCTGGAAGAGGAGGCTCAATATTTCTGGGGTGGCTCATACTCTGAGACAGATTCTCTAAGTCCATCAGGAGCTTGTCGATGTCATCATTCCTGTGGGGGACAGCTTTGGGTGCTGAGACTGTTAAAGAAGCAGTGGGGATGTAGCCTGTGCTGGCTGGCAAAATGTTTAAAGAATTGTGGAGTGTGTATGGTTGGGATAGGTTCATGGACTGACTTAACACAGTCCCATTTTTGTTCTGGATATTGCTCATCCCTCTGGTTGAAGTTAATGTCTGTTGTGATATTTGTTCTGGAGTCTTACTCACATCTGCTTCCTCCTCTTCAATATAAAGAGCCTCCATGGGGGAAGCTGGAGGAGTATGTGCGTATGGTGGGGTCGGGGAGTTACGAAGAAGGGAGGGAGAATGTGTTGGAGAAGAGCTGGAGCTGGAAGTGCAGGTCACAGAGGGGGGAGAGAGTGTGTGTTGTGTGATAGAAGAAGAATTTGGATGCTGTAGTCCATTGGTAAGGGCACTGGTTTTGGATGGGAAGCTTTGGATTGGTTTGGTATGTATGGAGTCTGATTTTAAGGAAGATGAGGAGGAAGGTGAGACAGAGGACAGATTAGAAGATCCAGAATGAGGAACAGTCTTTGGGATGGGAGGTGACAGCACCACATCCTCATAGCGAGGTGGTTGCTCATTGCCAAATATTGGAGAGTAAGGTCCCTGTTGGATAGAGTGAAGGGTATTTACCAGCTCGGCCAAATCACTGTGGCCACTCCCAGGTGCACCCTGACCCCCCTGCCCACTGCTACCCAAATTCCCAATCCCTTCCAGATCCAGAGGCAGTCGTTTCAGGTAGGTGCTGAGTCTGGCCATCACAGCTCGATACACACTGTCAGGACTGGCCCCTCCCTCCGCTGGCCCTCCACCAGCTTTACGTTTGATGCACTGCTTGATGATGTCAGTGCATTTCTTTAGGTCTTCCGAACATTTAAGCAAGATGTCGAGGCAGGCGCGGATGTCCTCACCGCCTGCTCCCCCAGTGCCCGCCTCTGCTCGTGTTTTCTCCAGCAGCCGGGCAATCAGGTTCTCCTCTCCAAGGGTGCTGAGGTACAGGGAGGCCACTGTGTTCAGACTTTGGTCTAATGACCCAATACTTGACAGGCTGCTTGTTGAGCCAGCACCTGCTTTAGTGATGGCTGTCATGGTGCCGGAGTTGCCCTTTAGCTTTGTCTCCTCCAGTCCTGTCCCTTTCCCCATCATAAATGGTGGCACGTTCTCATCATTAGAAGTGGCGGTGCCATTTGTCATGCCATTAGTCGTTCCGTTAGCGGTAATGTTGGAACTGAAGTGGCCATAGATGATTTCCAGGTCAGTGGAGCGTCGGCTAAAAGAGTCTGGGCGGACCTTACGACCTTTCCGGAAGGTAACGTGGCTGGAGGACGAGAGGCGGAGCTTGTCAAAAGAAAACTCTTTGAGCTTACCACTGGCAAGATTGATGGCCTCCTCAGTTATGTCCTTTAGACTGCTTGAGGAGCTCAGGTTTCCAATCAATCCTCCACAACTTTGGGTCTTTTTACCCCGCCATGTGGGGCTGTCCTCCCCTAAAGACAAATTGCCACTGCTCCCCGCCCTCTCTAGACCACCATTATAACTCGTATCCATAGAAACACTAATCTTACCATGGTTAGGCAGTTGCTGAGTGATCATGTTACGAGAGTGTATGGGTGAGTCATTTGTGTCACTGTAAACGAGGTCAGGTGCAACAAGCAGCTCAGAGCAGGTGCCACGGTGAGCGACAGTACAGTCCAGTCCCTGGGACAGCGCTCCACATGGCCCTGAGCAGTAGTGCACAGCATGGGAGTGAGTGCGCCGGTCCACTACCACACTGTTGTAGCAGCTCACGCTGCTCACCACTACGCGATAGGCTGCTGCCATGGTGTCCAAGTGCTTCAGGGCATAGGAAGGTCAAAATAATGTCAAAGTGTAAAACAATAATATAACTTTAACAAAAAACCTAGTGGATTATAGTGTTTTTCTGAAACTCCTTCACGTGAGAAGTAATGATGTTCTGCATAGTGACGATTAACTACACAACGTACAGTATACACAATGGTGTAGCAAAAACACAAGAAGCTGGAACGGGAAAATAAATGTCTGTAGCTATATCTTTCAAAGTCAAAATCCTTTCTTGCACCAGAAAAATCTTTAAAGGGTTTCTGTCTCTTGCAGAGGTAAATAATTCCTTGTCTGATCTCCGGGCCTCTTAACAACAGCTGTAAGGTTCCTCCTCTCTCCACAGGCACCTTCTTCCTTTCCTCTGTAGCAGGAGCTCGTTAGCCACTAATGATAGCTGTGGAGGATGCTGACAGCGGAACATCCAGCTGGGGTATCACCCATCCCTCAACAGAAGCAGCCTCAGGGGCTTAATTGGAGGCCATTGAGACCTTATCATTGCCCCAGTCTGGGCTCATCAGCTGTAGAATGAACCCCTTTATCTCACTGTGTCTTTTTTTAACTGTAGAAGGAGCTGAAATCCGGCACAGCTGCAGAATAGCAGGGGACCAACCACAGATGGCCGACTGCCTCCTTCTCTCTCTGAGTGGTTGTCTGGATCTCTGTCAGTCCTGTACCGTCTCTCTCGGCCACTTCCGTCTCCCACTGTCAACCATGTGTCAGACGGAGCTTGTGTTTCTGACAGGAGGACACCACCTGCGAGCCAGAGAAAGAAGGAGGGAGGGAGGGAGGGAGGAGAGAGTGTGAGAATGAGGGGAAAGGAAAACAGAGAAAGAGAAGGTAAATCATTAAGACGGTTGATACTTGTGAAAGTGATGTGCTGAGGGAGCATGTGCGTGCAATGATACCATCACAATTTCCAAACTGCACTTAGCTTCCTACCATATCAACCTCAAATCCAACATGATGCATGTTCAAAATAAAAAGCAGGAGATAGAAGAAGAGTGAAGGGTTAAAGAGGCTGAGCAGAAAAAGGATGTGACTCCCTCTTTCATCACAGCAGATCTACAAAGAGTCGTCTCAGACCCTGCTGAGAAATCATGACTAAAAATAAAAGGCAGGTGTTTACAAAAGAGAAAACACCTGTTGCTTTCACATTTCTGTCCAAAGCTCCGACACACTTTCTGTTTGTAAAGGCAACCTATGTTTGAGTCAATTCAACTCAGAAAAGAATGAAACAGACCAACGCACATTAAAAAGAGTGAAAGACAAATATTGTGAAATAGAACACTGTGACTCAGAGCTCACTTGAACTTGATGATACGTTAAGATATAACAAATTCTCCTTCTGGGGCTTTAACATCTGACTTAAGCACCCACAGATTCACCTCTAGTTTAAATCTGTACGACTGAAAACAAACATACAGTGAAGCATGTTTCTGAATTCCAGTTTTTACGGTGCCTATTTCAGTGTTGATAATTTTCGATTAAGAATTTCAAGCTTCGATGAATTGTAGATACACTTAAGACAATATGTAAATACCACTAATGTGGAACATACCTGGAGCTAACAGAGCCTGACAGGAAGGTAAACACTGTGTGCAGTAACACTACGAGCGTGACTGAATAGTAAAATTATTTAAAAGGTGTGAAAAAGCATGAAAAGAATTCAACATGGGAGATCTCTCATTCTCTTTTTCCAGTATTGCTCTTTCTCATTTATCTAGATCTCTCTCCCTCTATGTTAGTTTTAGATGCTTTTGTGTCTTTCTTACCAGTTTCTTTTTTCCCTGTTTTACTTTTTTAAGTCTCCCATCATACAAACAGCAGATTCTTCAAGCCTGTATCTTCCTACACATGCATTTCCATTTATACTGCTTTAGCAACAACCACCTTAAACTTAATCTTATCTCAGTCTTATCTATACAAACATCGTAGATTCTAGTCTAAAGGGGCCAAGATCTTACCCTGAAATAGTTCACTTTAAGAGTTCTCAAACACAACACGCACAGCTGATGAGTTTATATAAGTTCAGGAATGCATAGCTGTGGGCTGCAGGATCCTCACAATAACCACTGGAACAGAAAGAATAACACTGAGGTTATTACAACTTAGGCTACGGGCGCAGACATATGATCTGTGCAGGGATCTCCGGAGGAATTATGGAGCCGGAGTTTCCGACTTAAACGTGTGAAAAAGAGCAACTATGGGGGAGGAGGGGGAGGGATGATTGGTGGGTGGAGGGAGAGCAGCTGGAAAGGTGGGGAGAGGGGTTTTGTGGCACCTGGAAAAACAACTATTAGGAGTTTTTATGGAAACAACAGGCAGACACCTCATCTTGCTTTCTCTCTGCTTTCTCTACAGTGTGTGTGTGTGTGTAGAGTCTACACACACACACAC